AAACATGCATAACAAATTGGCATAAGATCAATTTTGTCCCCCATAGGGTCCAAAATGTAAAGCACGACTAAGGTGGGATGGTTTAAGATGCAATTTACCCACAAATTTTGCCTATATATCCCAACAAATTGCTTTTTTGTTTCATTTACAACCAAAGCTCAAAAAAAAGAGGGAAGAGTTCTCTCAACTCTCCCCCGTCCGGCCGAAAATCGATCAACAGTCGGTGACAAGCCTGCCGCCCGCTGTCGTACCAGATCCGTCCTCAAAACCACGAAAGAACCACTAGATCGGAGTAGATCTAGCCTAGAAAGCCTCGGTTCTTACCCTTTTCGGCGAAGACTCTTTGCTTTTTCGATGTTTTAACGATCCGGGTCTCTTGGCCTTGGATGTTGCTCTCGGTCTCTAGTTTCTTTTGGTTGTTTTATAATACTTCGTATGATTATTGTTGTGGCTTTTTAACTGTGATGTATGGCTTATATTTTTGTGATGATTTTTTTCGGTTGATGCTTGGTTTTTTCGTTGGTTATGTGGTTCGTTTCGACTGTTCGATGTTGTGTTGGCTTTCGGTGTACTGTGGTTCTCTGTTTGGGTCTTTTTTTTCGGTGTTGTGGGTGGTGGGGTATTTATACCCACCACCGACGTTCGTTATCTCTGATTATCATGGTAACGTGCTCGCCGTTGGCAGGGGATTTCAGGATGGGTCAGTCCCTATTTCCCCGGCCAGAAATCCCGGTGTTGACCGGTGCGTGGTTGTTGGCGTTCAGCCTTCTGGAACTCTCCTTGACTTGATCTTGACCGTTGGATTGGGTCAAATCCAACGGTCCAGATCTGGCTATGGCTTGATGATTTTTTTAGGGTTAAACAAACCCTAACTCCTTTACGATGTTGGTCGTTGATCTCTCCTGATCTAAAGGTCCCCTGTTGAGCGGCACTGTTCCAAGCGTGAAAACCCTAGCTGTTTGGGTTGGTTCAGGCCTAACTGTTGGATCCGAACATTTGATTTTTTTAGACCCTGGACAGAAAAAAGAAGAAATAAATAAGTAAATAGAAAATAATAATAATAATAATAATAATAATAAACAATAATAATATATATAAAAAGTTTTCAAAAACATATAATATATAAATTTTCAAAATGTTTTTTTAAACTATATATTATATGTATTTTCAGAAACGTTTTAAAAAACTATATAATATATATATATATATTCAAAAATATTTTTTAAAATCTATATATTATATATATATTCAAAATGTCTTTTAAAAACTATATAATATATAAATGTTTTCAAAACTATATACTATATAAATGTTTTCAAAACTATATACTATATAATTTTCAAAATATTTTCAAAACTATATACTATATATAATTTACAAAATGTTTTAAAAAATATATATTATATATATATATTTTCAAAATGACTTTTAAAAACTATATAATATATAAATGTTTTCAAAATGTTTTTGAAACTTTATATTATATATATTTTAAAAATGTTTTCAAAACTATACAATATATATTTTCGAAAACCGTTTTCTGAAAATTATATATTATACTTTGTCAAAAATGTTTTGAAAAAAAAACTATATTACTATATATATATATATAATAAAAATAAATAAAAATAAAACAAAATAATTCCGGACGAAAATGAGTGTCTACAGTACTATTTTTATAACGATAAAGATTCATTAAATTTTCAGATAAAAATATTTCATTATTTTTTATTAATTATTTAATATTTTTTCTTCTTAGATTATTTTATTTTATCTTTTCTATTGAAAACCTATTTGTTGTAGCTTTCATTTTTTTATCTAATTTATTGTTATCATTAGTTTGGCCTTCGGTTAGCGTGAGGATTTAATATTACTTTTTGAGGGTCATTTGAAAAATCATTTATATTAATTAATATATTTTAATATTTTTGTTATTGTGAATTATACATCATCATATTATTAAAAAATTATAAATCTTTAAAATACATATGTTCATATAAAAATTCAAAAAAATAAAATACATCGATAATAATATTATTTAAAATTTTTTAAAGATAAAAATTCATGAATAATAAATATAAATATTTGAAATTAAATTATAAATATAAATTGAATTGATAAATATTTTAAAACAATAGCTTCAAATGAAATAAAATTAAAAGTTAAATATTTGATAATTTAATTGAAATTTGTTGTAACACGTCTAAAAATAATTTTTAGAATGAATATATATGTATTAATAATAGAATTTTTTTGTATGAGATAGACATAAATAAAATTTTAAAAAAAATATATGTCAAATGAATAACTAATATAAAAAAATTCAGATATCAAGATTGACACTTACCCATCCTAAAATACGCATACATCAAAATCTCCGATCCGATTCAAAGGGATGAACAACTAAAAAAATGAACATGGCTCAAAGGATAAGCCAAAAACAACATTAATGGATGATTTGTGAATAATCTTTTGGTTTATATTATAAATTGGCCCTTGAAATAATCGTAGTTTTTATTTTTGGAAATAAACTCATAGATTGCATACAAACATGTTTGATATGCCAAAAATCTGTCTCAATTACTAATCTTTCCTTGAGAAGTGAATAAACAGAGAAAGATAAACAACATTTCATTACACCAAAAAAAGAGCTCCATGCAATGTACAGATGACCTATTGATTTCAAGATTAAGAAGCAAAAGGAAGAGTATGAAGGATGAGGAAAGGAGCTTCGTGGAACAAATGGTGAAGCACTCTAGCTAAAACCACCGTGTACTCCTTCATCAGCTCCAACACCACGGCCACCAGAATCATCTTTTTTTTCACCTATAAAATACTACGGAGGGAATTGTGTTTATATGAGGCGGAGGAGGCCGCGACTGATCTAGAACTTACCGGAGTGTTGGTGGTGGGTTGAGCTGGAAGATGAAGATTCCTCCACATGTATTTTATATTATATATGCATTGGCTGCTTCCTCCTATCCTTATCTCCAACATTTATTACCCTTTTATTTATTTATGAAATGAATACAATTTCATTTCATTTAATAAAGTTATTTGGATTGTTCTGTCCATCAATGGCGGAACATAATGATAGGAGTGTACAAAACTGGCCGCTGATAATTAGGAATTGATTCGAACTTAGACTAATAATTTTGGATATGAATCTCACTTACATCTATGGATGGGTATGGGTCGAGTTTTTGGTCCAACCGATCCGATCCGAGAATAATAATTCCTCCACCCGAGATCCGACCCGATCTGCATGAAACAAGATTTCACCGATCCGATATATAATTTAAAAATCGATCCGACCCGATCTGAAATAATAAAAAATATTATTTTTATTCAATAAAAACAGTAACTTAATTGAAAAAAATAATATATAGAGAGATATTTTTATAATTATTCCTAAATATATAAGATAAAATTATATATTTTTTACCTTAAACCCGAACCCGAACATCACATTAAAAAATCGGACCGACCCGATCCCAAATTTTTTTAAAAAACTCTGAGCCGATCGGGGTCGGGTCGAAAACCATTAGGTTTGGATCCCATGTCCATCCCTACTTACATCCGAAAGAATGATGTGAATAAGTTCGATTAACCTGATAATTAACTTATATTACCTGACATGTTATCAAATCTAACCTATAATTGAATCAATCTATAAATGATCTGATTTATTATTGAACTAATATGATGTTGACTCAATTTAATAGTTATCTTACTTGTCCTTTGCAATTGATGAAATTGTTGGATAATGATTTTTTGATATTATATCGTGACAAAACAATTCTGCACTTTTTTAGGTATATGATTAATCCTGATCATTAAATTAATATGTTTATTTTTTACATTTATAAATTCTAATCTATAAGTATATTTAAAAATTTTATTAAATTAATAATGGGTGGTTAATAAAAAATAACTCTTCACAAATTAAAATGAATTAAGTATGATTGTTACATTAATAAATTCAATTATAATCATTAAATTCATAATTTTTGTTATATTAAAAATTAGATTATATAAAAGAATTTTAAATATCAATAAGTTTAAATCATTATTGAATGTACTAATTGATTAATATATATATATATATATATATATATATATATATATATATATATATATTACTTATGATAATTTTAGGATATGAGATTAAGAAATTAGTCCATAATTTTATGTTTATTCAATTTGGTAATTAATATTATACTTTTATATGAAATTGGCTCATAATTATTTCTATTTTCTGTAATTTACTCTAAGCCTTATAAATCACATCACAAATTTCATTTCAAATTATATATATTATATCATAATTATTTTTTTATGAATAAATTATAAATTCAACGTTTAAAAATTTCAAAATAAATTTATTGCATAAGAGTATCAAGTCTTCCACATAACAGCCTTATACACTTGAAACTGAGATATTGTAAGATACATAAATATTATACATATAAATTTAAATATGTTAGTGTCTTATTTGGAAAATTAAAGTTTCTATTATTTGCGAGGGCCGTGTATTATTCTTTTTAAACATTAAAAAGTAGAAAACCCTACTGAAGTCCAGTCGCTCTAATGCTCCAGGATGCATTCCCCGGTGAAAAAAGTTTGGACTTCCTCCGGCGGTGTGGAAAAAACTTGCAAACCAAATGTTAACGCAACGCCCATGCCATTTTTGCCTATCCATCAGCAACCCCCTGGTACACACTCAAATCTTAGATTCCAATTGCGTCGGAACAATCGGATAATATAAAACTCCAGAATTCGAACTCCTGACTTTACTTAAGGAATCTAATACATCATTCCACTAGATTAATTGGTAGTTGGTAATAGGTAAAGATGATACACATCCCACTAGACCAATCTGTTCTTTAGAGTGAAGAGTCGAATGATTGATTATTAAACAGAAGGGAATATGGTAAAGATAAATAATGTGTGAATTTGTTGTACTGTTAAATACAGGCTGCCATTATCGTTGCATGACTAAATATGCAAACTAGTAACATATGGAATTGATAACATATTAGACGTAGGATACAATTTACAAAACCTGATCAATTTTCACACCACGGTACAGTGGGAAATGGATTAACCTACCTACATGCCTGTTTTCAACCACATCAAGAACCAAAGATCCAACTCATCTCCCTTTTCCCATGACAAGAACCATCAATATAGTAATAATGAAAACAGTGATAACAAGAACCGACAGTGAGCTCAAGTGGGGATGATGATGTGTGGCAGCCGCGTTCGATTGCACTGATGGAGCCGTTTCGCAGCTACTTCCCTCACCATCTTGCTTCACCCTCTGTCTCAGTTTTGTGGAAGATTCTTCAGCAATATCTTTGACGCCATTGAGCTTGAATGGTTGGTTCTCTTTCTCTGACTCATCATCAGAGCTACAAGTCTCTTCTGTAGCTTCTGCTTCTGTGACCTGCATTGAAGCATTGCATGATTTCCTTCAATAAACCATTATTATACTCAACCAAAATGAAAAGAAAGGTACGATAAGTTCACTTCAATAAATCAAGTCTCAAAATTAGCTTTTCATGGTTACACTACCTCACTTAGAACAGACTGAACTTCTTCACCAGGGCTAGTTTTGCTATCATCAACACAGCCTGCAGAAACTTTCATTGGCCCACAAGAAAGCTTCTTTTGCAGGCGTATTCTTCTTGGAGCAGTTCCTTGATATACGGTGTTATCTAAATTCGGTTGTTGCTGAGGTCCACGGGCCCTAATCCTGATTCCAGTTCTAAGGTTTTCAAAATTTGACTGTTGCTGAGGCTGGAAGGCTCTAGTCTTCATTCCAGTTGTTCCACCAAGATCACCAACATCATTGTTATAACTCTTCAGACTGGCTAATTGTTGCAAATAATTATTATTACCCATAGAAGAATCAGTGGAATAAGTTGCTTGGCCAACAGCATAGTTTCCAAGATCACCAATATTTCCCATTCCACTCTCTTGGTCATGAAGTTCAGTTTGAGCACAGCTGGGTTGGAAGGAAGTTTGCATTTGCACAGATTCCTTATTATCAATATGCCCACCAAACCACTTGGGAGCTCCAATCTTTGATTGATACTGGTAAAGAAGTAGAAAATATCGAACAGATGTAAGAATCCAACACTAAACCAAATCAAATTGTCCTAAAAGAAAAAAGAAAAACACAAACAAAGGGCGGAAACCAAAACAGCAGCTCCAGAAAACAAAAGAAAAAAAAACAAATTATATTCACCTATATTGTAACATCAAAAGATAATATCAAGTCATTCCTTTACCTGTTGTTGCAGCATTTTAGCATCTGCATCACTGTATATGCCATTTTCTTTGAGATAGGAGGTTTCTGGTGAGATGAATAAACTATCAGACAAGGGCATCCCAGTTCCAGGAAAGGAGCTCTTCTGACCATTCAATTCTGCACAGAGGTCATCATGGTTATTGAGGACCGCATCCAACAATGAGAAAGATAAATCTTGTTCACAAGACCCATCCTGGAACTGATATCCGTTTTGGTCATGGCCGAAATCATTTGCATATGGAGAATCCATGCAGAGTGGCAGATCATCAAAAAAATACGATTTCATTGGCGAGAAGACTTTGTTGTCGATTTCACCGAAATTAGGCTCACACAAATTCGAATTGTCTTCCTGAAGTGGAAATTTGTGTTAAAAAAACAAGACAATGATGGTCTCTTATCAATAATCACAAATTCATAATATAGTCTACAATACAATGACGAATGCAACAATGTCAAAATATAAGATAAATCATCCACTCCACACCTCTACCATAGTTTCTTCAACAGCATTATCTTCTGCATCGGAAGTCATATGACTATTGCAGCTGCTATCACCCGTTACTAGATTATTATGCATTAAGTTATCCGGCTTTTGAGCTTGTGTCTCCGATGACACTGTATCTTGGAGAAGATCCGATGAAGTATCATCAGGAGAAGACTTTGTCATGGCAGGCAAATACCCAGGTTGTTCTACTTCATCATCCTTCCCAATATCATTCCTCTCTTCTGGTTTACGAAACAACTTAAATAGGACAAAAGCACTCTGCAAGGAAGAAAATCCCAAAGTTACATAGGACAGAACCATAGCAAAACTGATCGAGGCAGTGATAGTATTTGCAGCAATTTAAACTAAAAACAACTTAATACTAAATAGAAAACCTGGCCAGGACTGGTGCCGTCAAGGTCCTTGGTCATGGGGCGGTACTCGTGCATGATCCAGTTAGTGCGTTCACCCTTGGGAGCACGGCCCTTGTAAAAAACCAAGGTCTTCTTCATGCCGATGAGCAATTTTTTTGACTTGATGGTTCGATCCTTGCCGGTAGCTTTCCAGTACCCTTTATCGGTAGCTCTGTTGGAGCGGTGGCCATTCGGGTACTTCCTGTCACGCGGACAGAAGAAGAACCACTCCGGATCATCCGATTTTATCACAGACAGCCCTGAATTCAATTCAAACCATCTCAGCCATAAAAATCTAAAAACAATCGATAATTTTGGAATATTAAAAATTCTCAGCACACTGAAGAGGAATCCCCCCCCTCCACCCCAAAAGGAATAAAATTAGGTTTTACCGGAAAATTCCAGCAGCGAAAAAAGCAGGAATCAAAATTTATGAACTAAACAATTGGGAATAAAAGAATTGAAGCTGACGCTTAGGCTTAGGCTTAGGCTTAGGCTTAGGTATCAAAGGTTCAGTCCAATCGTACACCAAATAATTTCTTTCTTTTAAAACTAAATTAAACGCAAAACAAAGAACGATTTTGAAAGGAAAAAAATACCAGGTAAATCCCAGGGCTCCCATTTGCAGACATCGATTTCAGGAATGACCTCAACCTCGGAATGACGACCGTTGATCTTCAATCTAAGGTAATGATTGATGAGCTCTTCGTCGGTCGGCCTGAATCTAAACCCTAAAGGCAAAGTTTCCATAGTCAAAACTCCCATTTTTTCACACTTTGCTAAACCCTAATTTCAATTTCTATTCTCTTACCTGTTAATCAAAATACTGTTTTTCTTTTTTTCTCTTTCGGCTTTGTTTTTTTTTTCCTTCTAAATCTTTTCTCAGCCAAAATTTGTTGATGGATTCAGTCTCGGTGGTTGACACGTGACTTTATGCCGCCATGTCGCTTTCCCATTCGCCTGCGGCAAATTCAGGACTGCGCGTTAACTGTTTTTTCTCTTTACTGCGCTTTAGGATGGCAGGAAATCTGTAAATCGTAAAAAGAAGGGTTAATTCCACCAAGCATCTCAAACTATTATTAACATTTTAGATTGATCTCTAAACTTAAAAATTTTCGAATTAAATTCTTAAAATACATTTGACTCGACTCGACTTGATATCAATAAGTTCGATAAAAATTTATTTGACTTGTTCTCGTTAAAAAAATTCATTTCTCGTCAAGCTCGTCATAATTTAAACCTTTTTTTAATATATGAAAATTCTAGTTATATTACATATAGATTAATATAAACATAAATTAATAAATTTAACCAAAAAAATAATCAAAATAGCTTGTGAAAACAAACCAAAAGTTTAAAATCCAAATAAAAAACCATAAATATGCCAAACTAGTGTATTACAATGAAAGTAACAATGCACAAATACACTAAATTAACATATTACAATTATTATTGAAAAAAAGGGTTTAATAATACATAATCAATCTTAAAAATAAGGCTATCAACATCTTATAAATTATAAAAAAAATAATAAATTATTTGTAAACTTATCGAATCGAGTTAAACCTTATTCGAACTAGAGTCAAATCAATTCAAATTAAATATTAACTATATTTTAATTGAATCAAGTTCAAATGGCTTGTGAACTACTCGACTCAACCAACATTCCTAATTGAAGTTAAACCGATAAAGCACTTAACTACTATAACATTACGATTTTCAAAACTCAATTCAAACTTGTTAATATTGGAGAATTATTTTAAAACTTAAATAATGGTTTTTTACGGAACTAATTTTCTAAATCAGATACAAATAGGCATAATATCAAAATTAGCCCCCAAACGTTTACTAAAATAGCCAGTTTGCCTCCTATTCTATTTTTTGAACATTTTAGCCTCGAACGTTTCATTTTAGGGAAAAAAACCCCTTAAAATTTGATAGAATAATCATTTTATCCCTTATTCTTTTTTTTTCTAAGGCGTTTTAGCCCTCAACATTTCATTTTAGGTTAAAAATGCTCATATTTTAGAGCATTAATCGTGTGTTAACTAATAATTTCATCTATAGAGGAAGCTTTTTGTACCAAAGTGAAACGTTGGAGATCAAAATGCTCCAAAAAAAATAGGGGCCAAAATGATCATTTTCATAAATGTTGGGGGCTATTTTTGGTATTATGCCATAAAAATACAAATATAGATTATAAATAAGACAAATAAAAGTTCGATAATGCTAACCTTTTTGCCTTTTGTCCTCTCTTCTCAACTTTTATTAAAAGAGGAGTTAATTGCATTAGGCATAATGTCGAAAATAGCCTCCAATGTTCATTAAAATAGTATATTTGATTCATATTCTTTTTTTTAAGCATTTTGGCCCCTAACATTTCATTTTGGGGCCAAAAAACTCCCTCTATAGATGAAATCATTAGTTAACACGATTATCGCTCCAAAATATGAACTTTTTAACCTAAAATGAAACGTTGAGGGCTAAAATGTCCTAGAAAAAAGAATAAGGGATCAAGTGATTATTCTATCAGATATTAGGGGCCTTTTTGCCCTAAAATGAAAATGTATAGGCTAAAATGTTCAAAAAATTGAATAGGAGGCAAAATTATCATTTTGATAAATGTTAGGGGCTAATTTTGGCATTATGTCATTGCATTGTACATCCTTAAACTATGATCCTCATTCTAAATTAATCCTCAAACTATTAAATATTTTAATTTCATCATTAAATTATGACTATCATTCTAAATTAGTCCTTAAAATCTTAAATATTCTGAATTCATCCTCAAAATATAGCCATCATTCTATATTGATCCCCAAATTTTTTGAATATTCTAATTTTATCCTCAAACTCTTGAATGATTTAGGGGAAAGTTATTGGAATGTTAAAAAATTTCGGGATTAATTCAGAACGAGGGCCATAGTTTGGATGAATATGGAATATTCAGAAGTTTAAGGACCAATTTAGACTGACAATCATAGTTTGGAGATGAATTTAGAATATTTAGAAGTTTAAGGACTAATTTGAAATTAGAGTTAGCTTAAGGATGTATAGTGCAATTAACTCTTAAAAGAGGAAAAGAAAAAGCTTTAGTCGTGCGCTCGGCCTTTTCTCCAATTTTGTAGTTTCACCACAACTTTTATTTTATTATTTTTATGCGCTTCTTGAAAATTACGAATTAGCTTTAGAAAAACCATGTGATGTTTAAAAAGAATATTGATTATAATAATAATATATATTTTACAGTTAATAATAAATTTTGAAGATAGTATTATTTAGAGGAATAATCATAAACTCTAAATATGAATCATAAACGAATATGTAATATATTAAAAGAATGAATTTTTCAAAAACTGGTTTTTTAAAATGTATATATTTTATAAAATATTAAATAAGGTAATTTTTAATTTATTCATAAAATTTTAATTAATTAATATTTTCAATAATGAAAATCAAGATTTTAATTAGGAGAAAGAAGATGAATTTATTGATTTTCATAGTATTGGTAATGGGGTGAGCGTCCGTCGTCCGATCAAGTCAATATGAGTCGAAATTTGTTGAGTTATTTGAGTTGATAGATCATATTTTATAATTAAAATTTTATTTAATTTTTTGAATTTACTTAAGTTTATAAAATTTGAGTAGAGTCCTTTCGGATCTATTTTTTCAAGTTTCTATTTAAATTTAATTATAAATATTTATAATATTAGCTTACTATTTGATTATAATTTAAACAATTTTCTATAACTATATATATATATATATATATACTTCTTCATATGTGACACACATATATCATATAGAGTTAAAAGACTCAATTCAAACTTCAAAATCAATTCATTAATTACTAAAATTTTGAGTTATTCGAATTCTATTTTAGAACTTAATTCAAATTTTAAAAATAATAAATTGTATCGAGTTTATAAAATTACAAATCAAAACACTTTGAATCGATTTAAATAATTAATTTTTAAATCAAATTGAGTTTTATTTGCCCAAGCGATAATGATAACGTAAGTTGAGAAAGAAAAGTGCTTTGCTAAGTTCGATGGTAAAAAGAGAAGCCGAAGCCATGAGCCTTTATTCGCCACGCACATGTCTCCATGCCCCCAATAAGGGGAAACCTGTATCTCCGGTATAATTTGCTGCCGCATTTTGCGCATTCGTTTAAAATTTTTTTTTTAATTTAGTGAGAAAAATATATAAATATTATTACTTTATTAATATAATTGATATAATTTTTCAAAAATCAAATTTGATAAATTATTTTTACCATGGTGCAATTTGAAGTAGGTTCGTAATAATTGGAAGTGTCTGAATAATGACTCAATACAAATAAAAATTAAATTGGATACGTACTTATCCTAAGTAAAGCAGTTACCCAACATTGAGGACTGAATCAAACAAAATACTTGATAATTAAAAACACTTGATAATAATGGATTAAAATAAAAGAATGAATTGAACCATCAAGTGATCACAATAGTAAAAAAAGAATGTTGCACTTTTTAGAAATTCTTAGTTCAAACATTTATGTCTGTAGAATGTGTATTGTCAATTAATTAAGAAAGTTATTAATAAATTGTTAGAAGATAACGACATGCATAATGATCGCTCAATAAAATAGATACTAAAATTTTACATGGAAAATCTTTTCGGGAAAAAAATCACGTGTAGAAGAAGAGAAAATTCACTAGTATCAAGAGAAGAATGATACAAGGGGAGTCTTCATAGATAACATAATCTCTAACATTAATCCTTAATATCTATTCATAGAGATAGATACTTGATTACAAAGTAAACTGAATAAAGTATAAATCTACTTTAATAAAGTTCTCAACTTTTAATCAAACCATGTTTATTATTTTCTCAAATTTAAACATTAATTTGTATCACTTTGAATTCAAGTCATAATCTAACAAATTTTCACCTTAACATGAATTTTGAAAGTATGAAAGTTTCGAAACAAAACACCTAAATTCAACGAGACATCCAAACTCGAAAAAAAAAATCTTCACTTCAACAAATAAAATTTTCACCTTGAAAACATATTCTACACTTCTTCCACGAAACTCCTTAGAAATGTATTCTTCAATAATGATTGCAAAATGAATCCAAAACTTGTCTAAACTTGAATTTAATATTCACATTGGTAAAGAAATCCTAAGTGTTAACTTTGCTCACAACTTGATTACTACAAGTAATATTATGCACAACACTATCTTGATCATCAAGGATAATTCTATCTTTTCCGTTAAACTAAAGGAACTGAATTTTTTTCTTGAATCTGTCATGTCCACAGAACTGAACTCTCTTTTTCTTCTCAAATCCATTATGTCCACAAAATATAACAATTTTTTGCTCCCAAAATCGTTATGCTCACAGTTATTTTGTTCAATATTGAATCCTCCTTTATCACGAAGAAAAAAATATTAGTTCATCTTCTATAATTGTTGAACATTGCATAGTATAAAACCTGACATTATTTCTCTACTCTTTCATCAAAATAAGAGAGCTCTTGTAAATATTTGTACCTCTACCTTCCACATCATTAATTTAGTGTTGCGATCCAATAACGAAATTTCATACTTCAAAAATATCATTATCGTGATCGAGTCAAATAACTTGGATACTCTGATACCAATTTGTTAGAAAATAACGACATGCATAATGATAGCTCAATAAAATAGATACCAAAATTTTACGTGAAAAACTCTTTCGAGAAAAACCACGGGCATAAAAGGAGAAAATTAACTAATGTCGAGAAGAATAATACAAGAGGAGTTCTCATGGACAACCAAATCTCTAACCCTCATACTTAGTATCTATTTAAAGGGATAGATTCTTGATTATAGAGGAAACTAAATAAAATAGA